GACACTGAGGGTTGCGATCCGTTGCCGGACACGGAAAAAGACAAACAAACAAACAAAAAAATACGTTGATATAAGTAAAGTCATTATAACATGTGACAGAGAGAAAACACCATGTAGGTGTTTGCTATTATTATTAAAAACAAATTATAGTAATTCCCACCTTACGACGTTGTATTTGCTGTTCCCTCTGCCTCTTCTCCACTACTCTTTTGGAAAACACCTACTTTTCTTGCAAGAACAAGTTCTTTTTTAAAATGCTGTTCCCTCTGCCTCTTCTCCACTACTCTTTTGGAAAACACCTACTTTTCTTGCAAGAAAAAGTTCTTTTTTTTAATTTTTTTTAAAAGATGACCGGTAAGGGGATCTTAACCCTTGGCTTGGTGTTGTCAGCACCACGCTCACCCAGTGAGCAAACCGGCCATCCCTATATGGGATCCGAACCCATGGCCTTGGTGTTTTCAGCACCGCACTCTACCGAGTGAGCCACGGGCCAGCCCCAAGAACAAGTTCTTAGAGCCTCTCCTGTAGTAAACTTTCTCCGATTCCCACCCAGCCCAGCTGGACCTGGCAACTCCCTTCCCTAGGTTCCCACAGGAACATCCCAGTATCCTAGCTCTGATATTATAATTGCTGTGCTGTAATTCTTTAGTAATTGTCTCTCCCACCCCAGACTGCGCTCTCCGGGAGCTCTCATCACACTATAATTTATGCACAATTTAATTATCCGTTTATTGTGCACTTCTCCCACGAAATTCCCATGAAGTTAAGAGAGTGTCTGGACCTGGAGCGTGAAGACAAAAAAACCACAGAAAAACCCAACCCCCACAACACTGCTCACTGCAACACAAGCGAAAAGCATTTGGGGGCCCACCAGTTTGCGACCCCCAAGCTTCAGCCTTTCCCGAGCGGGCTGGGATCTGGCTGCCAGTTTAAGAAGTGCGCGTGCATTCAAACATCTTTGACACATCTGCAGTAACCAGGCCCCCGGCAGACTGGAGCAGGCTCCTCGCGGAGGCTCAGCGTCGCGGGAAAGAGGAGGGGGCAGTACGCGGTCAGAGATGGACGGAACCAAACATTGGAGCCTGGTGCCTGCGCACTTTCCCGATACTGTGGGAGGGAAGGAAGGGACTGCGAGGCGTGAGGGAGGTGCGGGAGCCCCGGCAATGCTCCGTAGGACAGTGCGCTGCGCAGGCGATGGCTGGAAATTACCATTCCTCAAATCCAGGTCTATTTCAGTAGTTCGTGCCTCGGCTCCACCTCTTCAAAACCGCCCCATTCAGGGCCAGCCCCGTGGCTCACTCGGGAGAGTGCGGTGCTGGTGGCGCCGAGGCCACGGGTTCGGATCCTGTATAGGGATGGCCGGTGCGCTCACTGGCTGAGCG